AACTTCTCGAATTCCAATGAGTACTCAAATCTCTGACAACGAGTTGCCTGAGTATCGATGCAGTCGGTGTGCCCAACCTTTTCTTCCGCTGCTTGCGGAGCTAACTTGGCCGGGCGGATCTTTCCTCGATAGTGCTTGGTTATGCTCTTTGATTTGATGGGCCACACGGATTGCCTGCTAGAGATTCCGGGGTGCTAACACTGCATGCATCTTTAAGATGTCGGCTGCCATTCAGCAGTCGCCCTTCGCATCGCAAGACCGCACTCTTGCGGCGTCGTGAGTGAGTGTATTTATCTATCTATATATATATATATAGATATGTTTTTTTAATGTATTTTAATTATCTATTATACTTATATCTATATTTATGTATATGTTGAGGAATGGATTTATATTTTACTTAAAGTATACACACAGGGAAACATCCGTCTTTGCGCAACGTAGATAGCTTCCGCACCTAGTCGTTCTCGATCAAGAGCGGCCCACGGTCAGGAGATGAGCTCGTGAGGAGAGCGGATGACACCTAAGCTTAAGCATGCGCTGGCTCGGATGCACAACCAAGCTTTGTGCCCCGTGTTTGTGAGACCTCGGCACAAGTCTAAGTCCGGAGCTGCAAATGTTGCTTCCAAAAGTCCTGACAGGGCATCGCCCTACAAGGATCTGTTTCTCACTCTACCTGGCTATCCAAGAGCCCCTGCACAACTCTGCGACTAGGACTAGAACCCAGAAGCGTTACACAGAGCTGGAAAACCCACATAAACCAGAGCCGGTGCTGAGAACTCTCCTCCGAGAGCTTTGGCACACGGAGCTCCAGAAGCTCAGGGGCGTCCAAGCAGCCTCCGAAGAAGCCTCCACTTTTGAATCGATTCAGAAGTCCACACCACGCAGTTCTAGAGACGATGGTATGGCGAGTCATAGATTCGATGAGAATGGCCTTTACACCACGAATTGCCTGTGACAATCCACGAGTGTCCACACTTAACAACGCATATCAGCTTAGCACAAGAACATGCAACGATACCGCTGCTGTAGAACTCGCACTCGACGAGGTCAGGCGAGGTACCATGGGAAAAGCTCGAGTTTAGAAAATCAATTACACCAGCTATTCATATCGTTCATAGAGTTAAGGCATTAAGTGACTAAGGCTCTGTTGCCTCCCACCAGAGGCTAGAATTTCCAAGGAGCACAGGCTACGTGTTGCAGTAGGGCGTCATCGTGGGGCACACGTGTCTGCTCATGCAGCGCCTTCTTAACATGATCAGATCAAAGCCGATGCTGTTGAATTTGCTGCTCCCTGCCTCGCACCAGGCTAGGCAAGATACTGATGGTAGTCATCAGCTCACTCAGTGATTCGAGGAACGTCCTCTGCGTAGTACAACGGCTGGTCGAAGTCGGCTGCGGTCACGATCTCATTCGTCATGCTCGCTGTCTTGCCTGCGACCCAACAACATCGGCGTAAACTAGCGAAGCTGAGCTGCTTTGCCTTGGCTGCAACCATGGAAGTGTGATAATATGGCAATAATCATGATAAACATAAGAATCCTAGCTTTTTTCTTATTCTAACAGTAACAATCGCAACAATAAGAAACTACTAAGAGTTGCACAACTTCCAATCATCGACGTTGTACTTTGGACCCCGACCAGAAAAGCACCAAAGCTTGCCTCAGTTCCAGACACCAGCTGTTTTACGAGCAATTTGAAGTTTACAGGAAGGTGCAAATCGTCACAGAAATTCACTTCAGGAGCAGGAGCCGTCGCCGTAGCAGTTGCAGCAACAGAGCAGCAGCAGCAGCAGCAGCAGCAGCAGCAGCAGCAGCAGCAGGAGCGGCAGGAGCGGGAGCGGGCGGGCCACTTCCATCAATTCCATCAAGTGAAGAAAACAAAATGGAACAAAACAAGAAATGTTCGACATCTAAATGTTCAAACCCCAAGTTCGAGTTCGAACATCAGAATCCAAGCCCTTGGTTTGATTTTTAGGCGCCTCGGTGGCAGCGGCTGCTGCACTCGGTCCCTACAAGTAAAAGAAAACAAGAAGAACCTTAAACTACCCAGAACAAAGAGTCCTAAAACATACAACTTGCAAGCAACACAACGCTTTGAAAAGCCCTGTAGGACAGACTTAGCCGGCCCACGCCGTTCAGCGCAAGTTCTCCACACAAAGCATCGCTTTACTCCAACAGCTTAGTGAGCTGCGAACACATTGTGTCGGTGCACGCAATTTCACATGCTTTGCCGGCCCTAAAACTGGACCTGCGCAAGGAGGCCGCAAAGTCTGACTTAATGGCTTTATGAACAGCTGTACCCACGCACCAACCTTTCTTGGAACAGCATGAAGCTGCGCATTCCGTACCAATCAGAGACAACTTTGTCCGAGCCAGAGTGACTTAACAACCGAAAACTCCTCAAACAAAACAGAAATCGACCAGGAGCCTCCTCTTCATCGGGGGCCCCGAAACTGTCGAAAGCCATCAAGCACTGACCCATCATGTCAAGGGTTGCAGATGCAATTGTTATGCAGCCCTTGAAGCTGACTGCCAGCAAACATTCATTCACCATGTCCGCAAAGAAAATAGAAATTTAGCAAGCGATCAGGGTGCATTCACAACAGACATTCCATGACCTACACGACGACATCCGCTGACGAAACTTCCCGTTCAATGGCTTTGGCGACGCACGAGCTCCAGTCGCCGTCGCCCAGCTCCTGGCAATTGGAAAGAGCTCAATGACCTTTATGACTTGTTTGCTTTTGCAGGAATCGCTGGCACTTCCCGAGAGTTCCCGAGACTACAAGCCCATTGTTGAAGGTCGTCCTTCACAAGAGCCAGCACGGCGCAAGGGATGTTGTCCGCAGGGTTCGTTTTTTTTTGGCGTGGGCGGGCCTCGTAGACAGCGGCTGCTGCGCTCGGTCCCAGTAAGAACTACAAGAAGCAACAATAAACGAAGAAGAGTAAACTAATACCTGTACAAGGTGAAACAACACGCTGCGACATTCAGACTTAGCCGGCAAAGTCGTTCAGCATGAATTTAGTGCACACGGCCCCACGGTTCACTGGCCCTGCTCCCCGTAAAGTCTGGGTCGCGCAATGGCAAACATGAGAATTGGCCCTGCTGCCCGTAAACTTGGGCAGCGCAATGGCCTTCATAGAAGCATTGCTTGCGGCAGGATGCCGGCCAACGTGTCAACGGCAAGCTTGAGCGGCCAACCTAGCCGAGCCTTGCGTTTCGCGGGCTGGTGCAGGTACGGTTGGCCGCACTAATCCAACCGGAAGTCAGATCTCAATCATTCTCGCACTGTCCATCCAATGGCACAGAAGCCTCATGGCCGAATGGCCAGGGCACACCCATTCCCAGAAAAAGAAGCGCAAACCCATGGGAGTGGAGTATGTCGGCTCACCTCTGCCAAGGCTGCACAGTGGCTGCGCAATGGCCGTCCATATATGGTTGCCAGCCACGGTGGCTTTGAAGGCTTGGGGTGACCTGGCTCCCAGCGGCAACGATAGGCTAGGCAGGAGTCATTCGTAAGCCGTAAACCATTGATGGCGCAGCAGCCTCATGGCCGAATGGCCAGGGCACACAAACCCTCTAAGGTGTTGCGGGTCCGATCAGGCTGTGGAGCACTTCATGCATGGTGTCAGCTGTCAAGGGTGCACGACTCCCGAATGGTGCGAACCCTGCGGACAACCCTATGGGATAGGGTCCGTTTCTCTTGAGGTCGTGCGCCCTGGCCATTCGGCTTTGAGGCTTGGCACGTGTTCGCCAGTGGAGCCACCTGGAAAGATATGACATTCAAGGTGTCCTCTCGGTCTGGCAGCCTGGCCCTAAGCAAATCAGTGTGGTACCCCCAACGCTTTTATTTGCTTGGATATCACAGGATAGAAAGTCGTGGCGCCCAAATTGTCCGACGGGATTTTGCTGATGTGGCTGATATGCAGATTATGCCCCGTATGCCCTGGGCGAGGGCCTCTCATTCGCAGCCTGGGTGGAGGCAGCACGGCGCTTTCGAGAGTTGGGTGGACTGGCGAACGGCCTGGGCTACTCTTTCCTGGGTTACCGGCTTGTCCCCAACCACCATACGGCCACGCGGCAGCGGTTTTGTGTTACCAAACCACAGCTCTCAGGACGCCACGGCCGCCGGGAGTGCGCCTTTCTCTATGGCCTTAATGACGAGCAAATGGAGGACGCCGCCTGGAGGCGTATTCTGCTGGATACCGCCGCGCAGTACTGGTCATGGAGCGAGCCCAACATACGCCTGCTCGCTTAGCCTGGTGCCTTTTTCCGTTAGTTTGTGCCCTGGCCATTCGGCCACGAGGCTGCTGTGCTAGGCTGGCCGGCGGTAATTCTTGCCCTGAGTCTACTGTGCGAGCTATGCCGGATGAGCAGGCCTCCCAACGAACCGGGTCCATTAACAGAGCTTTCGGACGCTGCCGACAGTTCTGAGGGAGCCACGCTCCAATGCACAGAAATGTGCAAAAGAGGCCAAGGCCACCTCTGAAAGCACGTCCTCTTCACAGCAAAGCGGCCGCCGCCAACTCAAAGCCCGGCCAGCCGGCTCTGTAGCAGAAGGGCAACGGTCCGAGGTGACCCTGCAGAGACACCAGCTCAAAGGAGGCTTGTGGTTCCAACCCGGCCCCAAATCGCTCTCCAAGCGTAGAGCCCACCTCACCGGCGTCCCATCCAAGCAAAGCAAACAACGAGCAGCCGGCAGGGGCAACAACCCGCCCCGAGCCAAGTCCCAGAACTCAGAAGGAGAGCTCCAGTGAGCCTCACAGCGGCGCCGCTCACCACCTCGCCGAAGAATCCATTGGCTTGCCCGGACTACAATGTCACAATGGACTTCTCACTACAGCTCAAAAACCCGGCCAAACCAGCATGCTCGGCCAGGTACCTTGGAGCCTTGTATGTCACCTACAAGACCTCTGATTTCGAGGTTTTGGGCATGGGGGGGTTGAGGATCGTTGCTAGATCTCTCACACGCGGAGATATGGTCTGGAAGCTGTCTACTAACGTTCAGGACATGGAGAGGCAGGTATGTAGGTTGCTTCGGACTCCTTGGTGCTAGCCACTTGGAAGCTCTTGCCTTCTTCATCCTGGAGGTTGAACTCAACCCCGAGAGCCCTGAAGACACTCCTGAATGGTTGGGCTTTGTCGCCGTCCTTATCGAAATCGAATCCGAGAAGATCCAGTAGAAAATTAGCGCTCTTCTCGCTGGACGAGGCCAGATCCTGGGTTGACAGCAAGGTGAAATCGTCGTAGAACGCCGACCACGGCAGCAACCCAAAAGTCTGTCCTAAGTAGCACAAAGCCAAGCTGACTCGGATGAAAGCGTGGACGGCTGCTACCGCCCCAAAGGGCAAGCAGAGCAACCGGAAGAACTGGACTTCACCCGTTTCCGGGTTCTTCACAGCAATAACGGACATCTCCAGCGCTTCTGAGGACAGGGGCAATTGACGGTAAGCAGACTTGAGGTCGATCGTCTTGCCCTGAAGTCCGGTCCGGACTTCCGCCTTCTCAGAAACATTAGCAAGGCAGCAGCGATGGTTTCTGTGTCGTGCAGCTGAATCTTGCCCTCCGACCCGAAGGCGGCATTCAGGAAGGACTGCGACAGATCGTCGATGGGTCGAACCTTCTTGCCCTGTTGGATAGCAAATCGCTCGCTAATGACTGCCCCCGCAGGCAGCTCTTGAAGGGAGAAAGGCCCCTCGGACCACCCTTTATATAGCAACTTCTTCCATACTCTTCTGCCAGAGCTCTTCTATGAAGCTGGAGGAGGACGCTACGTCCTGGATGATCTGTTCATTGCTATCTGCTGATACAGAGGCTAGATCCGAAGCACTGATAGAAGCGGGCCGAAAGTCGGGCGCCCATCCGGCAGGAAGATCTAAGTGGCCAACCAGGTTGAATCCCTTGGCCATGTCATCAGCTACGGCCTTGTCCGGGTAGTGTGCCGCCTCCAACATCTCCTTGAACAAGAGGATTCGTTTGTTCGCTAGGCTCGCCTGAATGTGTGGCGGCAGGGACCGCTTGAAAGTCGCTTCAGCTTCCTCCAATGCCGAGGCACGCTTGAGCCAGCGTGGGGACTGAGCTGCCCGGCCCTAACCTGCATGACCTGCAATGGTTTCATGCTGGCGTCCTTGTCTATGGCCTGCTTCATCGTGGCGGAATGCCCAAGTGCAGGTGTGAAGGATGCCCCGTTCGCCTAGCCTGCAGAACGAACTCCTGAGGTGTCCAGGGGACGTGCACCCAGACGTCTGTCGGGCTACCCGCTACTGGAGCCACTTTGACTTCCTCAGCTGTACCCGCGTCCAATCCCTTGATCTTGCCGGCTGGCATCCACTGGGGCGCGACCAGTCTGCCTCTCTCCTCTGCGTGAGATGGCAGCGCACTGTCTTGCGGAATTCTGGGATCGCGCGAAAGGAAGCAGCACGTTTGGTGCGGGCCTGGGTCGAGAGCACCTTGGCCGACGCGGGACCGGAACCCTTAAGTTCCTGGACCTCCCTCTCATCTACGCAACCAGAGTCGCGGAGATGGCCTGTCAGTGCCATAACGAATGTTTTGCAGAACAGAGTGGGATACGCGGACTCCTGCTTAGTGACGAAGTCTCCATCAACCCTGCCCCAGGCGGCGTGTGTGTGCTTGCCATCACACTGAGCTGCCAGCGACTGCACCAAGGGGCTGTTGCTAAGAAGCGCGGTCCTCTTGAGTCTCTGCCCTCCAAACATGCAGAAGTCGCTCCGCACTGAAACAGCATCCTCATGTTCCAGGATCTTTGTGATCTGAGGCACGTGCCAGAAGAAGCTGCGATACGGGTTCTCAATCACCACTGTTATCTTTCGCTCCTGACAAGCCTCCCAGATCTTAGCCACGAGAGCGTAGAGTCGTAGAGAAGGTTGGCCTTAGCGACCCTTTCCGCGTCTTGCGGGCCCAGGTCTGGCATCCCTTCAGGATGCTCCGGGCTGCGTAATGGCAGAGGGCCGCCTTGTCCTGGCTCCTCGATGTCCCTGGCTCGACTGGCCGTCTTTTTGACTTTGGAAACGCGGGCGAGGCTGAAGTCTCTACCATGCGCGCGGGTGGCACGTGAACAGATCCTTTAAGACCCGGTCTACATGTACAACTATTGTGCACACGTGACTGCGCACAGGTATTCTGTGCACATTCTGCCATCGGCACGAGTGCCAGCATGGCGCTCCGACACGAGTGTCAGCGAGCCGTCAACATGAGAGTACGATGCAAAAGACAGCATTAAGCATCCAAAGACAAGTAAATAATATAGCAACCACTGCTACTCTGACTACGCTCACGAGTTTGGCCTTCACTTTGTCATTTGTCACAAGCTGGGTCCCATCATCATGGAAAATAATGCTGCGATAATGCCCGGATGTAGGAGCATCACCAATGTGGTAAGTAACAGCACGGACCCTAAAGGTCACCCAAGCAATAGAACCAGCTCGAAACATTGGCAGATCACATTCGGCATCGACCTGCACCGGCAAATTGGCACTTCTGAACCGTTGTATCCAGGACTTGGAAGCGCTGTAGCACAATGCAGACATGTGTCTCAAACTCGTGAATGCAGGAGTAGCACGTTTTGTTCGCCCAGATTCGTGAAGGCTTGCTGTGCCAAGTCGCGACACACTCCCTCAGAGTGCATCGCTCATCACCGGCTCCACCTGAGAAACCGGCAGGAATCGGCATAGCAATAATCCCTGACCCAGAGTCCTCCAACTCAAAAGCATCACCAAGCCATGCACCAGCTTGCCAGCGGCTGACCCAAGGAACAGGGCTTCCCTTGCAGGTAAGGTGTACCAGAAGTTCTGATGCATCATGCTGGGTACTTGGCCTGCTCCATCCCACAAAAAGCGGCCTCCAAGCAAACAAGTGTAAGATGTTATGCTCCTTGCTAAAGCCCAGGCCTTGTAAAGACGCCAATGCTCGCAGAAACATGTTATCACCTGCCATAGCCAGATTGGGAGCAAACCAGAATCCGCATGCAAGCACGGTGGCATTAATGTAGCACTGATTGTTGGGATTGGCCAGCCTCAGCGACTGCCAAGCCACGCTGAGAGGCGCTCTGCCGCCGGTGGGCGCTTGAGGCGATGCTGACGAATGCGAATGGCCCCCAACGCCCAAGCCTGGAGGTCCGTCCACTCCATAAAGAACCGGTGGAGAGGCTCCGCTTCCGCCCGTAGCCCCGGTGAGATTGTTCGGATTGACGAGCAGCTCCAAGGCCTGGTTGAGCTGCCCCACAAAGACCTCCTGTGTCACAGGCTTGCAGGTGGTATCCAAGTATAGGGCCTCCTGAGTGGGGGACCATTTGCGATATACCCACCTCCCGTCCGTATCGACCCACTCCAGATTCCGAAGGCGCTCCTGTTGCTTGTCGTCCTTCATCAGCTTCTCGGCCCTCGTCTTCATTTCGGTCAAGAGTGCAATCAGCATGCTGCTGCGAAGAGGCTTGTCCAGCTTGCTGGGTGTTTCCGCTTGGATCTTTTTCGAGCGGGCCCACACCGAGTACATCACTGGAAGTAGATTCTCCGGTCCCTTCTCGTTCTTCATTGTCATGAGAAAGCTGGTGTCCAGTTGCACGCGGTTGCTGTGGTCCACCAGTGTGCATGCTGCGATGAGTTGAACCGCCTCCTGAAGCTCCACTTTGGATGCATCCTTCTTGCCCTTGCCCTTCCCCTTGCCTTTGACCTTGCCTTTGCCCTTGTTGTTGTTCTTGTAGCCCACGATGCAAGCTTTCCATCAACGAGATGGAGGATAACTATGAGGCGGCCTTCGAGCGAACTGGGACTGCTAAAAAGCATAAAACAAATGTATCGAACATACAGATTCTCTATCTCACGAGTCCTCGTGCCATGAAAGTCAGCAACGGATATTTTCCGAAGAGCGCCGCACCTCGAGAACTGCGAGAGAACCTGCGAAGTTGTAATGCAGGCCGGGGCAGCCAGTGGAACTTCAAGCGCCTGGAAGATGTTCCTTAGCCGCACATCATATGCTCCTAGTAGTTGTGCAAGGAGCTGCGGTGTGGCTTCCGGCGGCTCATAAATAAAATCGGAGCCGCTGCCTCCGAGGCCAGCGCTGGCTAGCGGCACCCAATCGATGTTGGCAAACGGCTTTTGGCCGACATCTGGTCTCCTAACTTTGAGGTTCGCCACACCATGCCAAAAGGCAGGTGCAAGAATATCCTCCCCCAACGGCTGCGGCATAATATCTTGCTTCCAAGTTGTGCGTCTTCCTGGGTGACCTGCTTACTTTGGACAGAGGCATCAATTAGTTAGTCCATGCACAGCCTGCTTCAACGCTTCATAATGGACACGAAGGTCTTCCGGGGAGGGTACCGATGCAATGGAGTGGCAACCAGCAAGGTCAGTAACGACAAATCTCCACAACACTTGGTATGAACGAGTTTCCGGCTAGGGAGGAAACGGAAGTGGTGTCGTTCAGGTAAACAAAGAGCGGCTCCAGGGAGTTTTCGAGACTCTTGTCGATGTAACCATTGCAAGAATTGCCGGCCGTGACGAAAGTCGTCCATCCGAAAGAAGCTGTGCGGAAAAAAATGCTCCCAAGGAAGTGCAGGGAAGCGCTGCTTTTGCGCAAGAGGACTGCAACAGGCTGCCTCAAAGTTAGCACAGCTGCCGAAGTACGAGATCTGGTGTAAACGGGGATGATAGAGAGCCGTGCTTTTTCGGGTCTCGCCCCTTGGTCTCATGAAAGGAGGAAGGATTCGGGAGATTTGGCCGCGATCATCAGAGACTAACGCAGGTGACCATCCGGCATCTAGCGGGGAGATGGCATGACGCTGCACCCCAGTAACTGGTTGGGTAGCCCGCGAGAAGAAGGAACGCTTACGCGAGGCGATTTTGCCGAAGTCAACTGCATCAGCAATCGAATGTGCGCTCGGAGGAAGCCAAGGCACATAGTAATGTGTTGCTGAAAGATGAGTTTCATGGAACCGGCATTCTCGACAACGGGCTGAATGGCAACTGTTGATGGAGAATAGTCTGAAGCGCACGAACTGTTGCCCACACATAATAAAAGGCCGAACTGCGCGGTGACCCTTGCTGTAGCCCGCAAATGTCAGATCCGGGCACGGCGAATCTGCGACGACACACAGACGCATGCTAATGTAACGTCACATAGTTGCAGCATTTCCTTGATTCGTTTGCACGAATTGTCAAGGATGTCAGCAACATCTTTCAGGTAAGGGTAGCCACCTCCACATCCCTGCCATCCTCCGTGAATGTCTTGGCGTAAGACAGACACAAGATTCCGTATTTGGCCACTATTCTCCACGGCAACTGGTGCGCTGGGATGTTGCTTGTGAGAGACAACTGCTGTACACGCCCCATCGAAGAGCGAGATAACAGTCGATCAGCAGAAGCGATAGTATTTCGCAACTGACGGACCCCTCTATCTGTTGCAGCAGTAGCTAGCACTTCAGGTTTGGGAGCTTTGGCACTAGCAGGTGTGGCTTCTGTCGAAGGGTTTCTCTTTCGAGAAGAATCACAGTGCTTTTCTTTCCCTCTTTCTCGGCAGGCTCCTTCGGTGCCTCCTGAAGACTTCCTTTTCTGAGCCCGGCAAGTGCCGAGCACACGCTACGAGATATGTTTCCCGCACATACAGATGAAGCCTCTGCTGCCAAGGTTGGAGCAACGGCAGCGCAACACGGGATGGCAATTTGTGGTAAAGCCTCTTTAGTGTCATCAGGAGGTGGACTAGCATGCGCAGGGATAGGATGCTTATCAGGAGTTTGCGAGGGGCTGGCAATGGAACAAAGGAAGAAGATCGAAACCTTGTCATCGACCCCCTAGACAGCGGCATATTCTCTCCTGTATTGGGCAATAAGAACCGCATCCCCAAAGTTGGACAAATAAATGCCCCCTGTGTAGGAGACATGCATCTGCTGCCCTTGGTGCACAAACTGAGGAAGAAGAATGCTTCCTTTGCCTGCAAGGGCAAAGGCAGCATAACAAATGCCACGGTAATCAGCACCTGGTGGTTCGTCTGAGAATTGGAGGCGGTGCTGCCCAATGAGTCCCTGAGCGGGTTCACATTCATATTCGCTGGAATCCTCGTTCGCGCAAGGACAGTCCTTCAGAGCCTGCGTAATGACGGAGTGGCGATAACTTCTTGCGGTGCTTTTAAGGCTGATATGCAGTATTGGAACGGACTCTTGTGTTGCAACGCATTCACATTGCATGACCTTAAAGCGAGCAGAATAGGGACCTCGTGGGCATTACTGTAACGCTTCCAATGCTGCTCGGGCTTCTCAAGGATGGGACGCTTGGCAGCAGAAGGAAGAAGCACACTGGTGTCTTTGATAAAGTATTCAATCAAGACACCCGTATCAAGCTTACCATAAGCTGACCATAGGGTCGCTTCATCCGCAGCTGGCATGACAACATGCAAGGCCACCTCTTGGACCCCATGACAGTCTAGGAAGGCATGCCTCACATATGTTGGGGTAACTCCGAGGCTTTGAATAAAGCTTCGACCCTGCTCAGCATCAAGCTTTCCCTTGAGGGACCTTACTTGAAGGTGGATCTCTTTGACAACGGAGGGGCATACACACTCAACAAAGTAGGACCGGGTTGTGAGGTATGTCCCTGCACAGTGCTTCCTCGGGATGAGCTTACACGCACCTCGAATCCTGCTCTCCGGTAAATCGACAGCATTGCGGCGCAAGGAACCGATAAAGGCCTGATATAGCGGAGCGGTGTGCAAGATGTTGTCTAACAATGCATGCAAAAATACCATGCTGATATGCATGCCGCATAATAGCCTCGATGTGTGGGCCTTGCTGCGTAGAGACAGGAATGTTGCAAACATTGCAAACCACTAAAGCTTGCAACTGCTCAAATGCATCAAGAGAAAGAGAAGCTGAGAGGTGACTGAGTATACGTCGCATGGCAGCTGCGAAACATAAATATGGAG